TGTGAACTGTGCATGGCATACTCTTAGTGGCTGATATTTGGACATATTATAAAACAAAGTGCAATTAGACTGGAAAACAATGTGCAAATTTGTTTATGTTCAGCGAAAAAAGACCAGTGTGAACTGTGCACTGCGTACATACACTAATAAGTCGGCAGAATATAATAAACAATTAAACATAAAATATGACAATCACCAACTTTATCTTCCTTCAAAACAACCCTCCTCGAAAATTTTTTGAATATATGTAAATAGTAAAAACTAAAAAAAATCATCAAAAATATAAATAAAATACGAGTATAGTCATCACAAAATCTTTCTATAAATAGGTAAAATAGGTATTCTAGTAAAGACACCTTAAAAGATTGACACCGTTAATTTAAAAGCACTGATGATTAAAAACGTGCCTAAATCCATTTTGTCGTTTTTTTGATAATGTCATTTCTGAAGCGGGAGTTCAAAAAATACCCCAAATCATCGAGTCTCATCGAAAGTGACCCACCCTGTTTAATATTAACCGTAATATAGCCCCGCTTATCCTCAAAACCAAAACATTTGAAAGTCACGCAATGGGCCATTACAGCACGTCCGATAATAATTACCTGTTACCTTACAAGAATTAAATCGTCTTACAGATTCGAGTGTGCCAAAACCCAACATAGGTCAGCGTTTCTCTCGGCATAAAAACAAAACACATGAAAATCAGCAAACGGCAGCCGGGCAACCAGCCAGCGGCGGTTCGTCCTTTAAATCTGCACCCATAAATAACTTGACGCGGCTTTCGAAGCATCCCTGCCTCCGTCTCGTTTACATAAATTTCGAAAACGGCGGTCGCTATGGTCGATGCGGCCAGAGCCGACCAGAGGACAACCGCGTCCCCGTAAATCTCCTGCTGATTGATTGTCCGCCGGGTTTCGCGGAATTCGGATCGGGTTGCTTCTGCAGCGGCCGGCGGCAGCGGGAAAACACGACAGAAGTCCCAGATGGAAAGAAGAAGAAGAACGAACGAACAAGAGCGAAGACGTATGCAAATGAGAGGTTTGTTTGTTTGGGTGCGACAGTATATGCCTGCGATGTGCATGCCCGTTCGGGAAATGAGCCAAATGAATTGCTTCTTGACGTCGGATACCGTATTATTTCGTGCCCTATTAAATATCGTTTCATTACCTGTCAAGCTGAGAGAGTATATTGCAGCGTTGTGATCTGGGCTCCTTATCTATGGTTCTCGATAACCTGGAAATTCTGGAAAAGTATTTCGAAGCTGTCAGGGAAATTCATTACCATTATTGCCTTTTTCTACTCCCTATACTCTCTAAAGTACTACGTTATTGATAAAGCAATGATTAGTCGTGCACAAAGTGTCACCTTAAAATGTGACCTTCATTATTTCCGACATTAGTCACGGATTGGGAACGACCGAATATTTTCGAATCATATCAAATATCTTGGTTTCAAACACCAAATTACAACTGGTATAGAAAAAGTCGACCCTTTTTTATTATCATTTTTTATCGATTTGATATGCAGTAGTTTTTTAAAGATATAAATGCAAGGTACAGTTAGGTTTCAAAAAAAAAATCGATGCAATGAGCGTACCTCCAGGTACCAACAAATAAGAAGAGACGAAAAATGTGAGTAATGATAAGATAAAAGAACTTTTTGGTTCGTAACTTGCTCTAGCACAGTAAGTGCCATGTGTCCGTTTTCCAGGTCTGAGGTGTTATGTAGATCATTAGTAAATAACCGGAACATCAACGGTCGGAGAACACATCCTTGTGGTACGTCTAAGGTATTTTTTTCTTTTTTCTGAATTTATAAACTGCAGTTATTTGTTTCCGGCCAGAATGGTAAGATTTAATCACATCGGAAACTATACTCCTTAAATCATAAAAGTTCATCTTCGCTATCAAAATATCATAACTTCAAGATCAAATGCTTTGCCCAGATCCATAAATTAATCAAATCATTTTGAAAGTCTGTAAAAATGTTATACATATTCTCAGTCAGTCAGTGGTTCAGAAATTTGCAGTAAATTTTTTCTAAAATTTTAGAGGCAGAACTTAAAGGCGTAACGGAATAATTGTCACGTCACACGTCATTCAGTTAAAGTGTGCAACGAGAAAAACAAGTTAATAAACTAACCTAAAAACCTAAAGTTTCGTTTATGAAACTTGTTGCGTAACTATACTATTTAAACGTTTGTGTTTAATTAATTGTTCTTTTTTTAATTTTGCTCTTCTCAGGGGAAAAATCTTGGAGCAATTGTGAAAGAGGTTTTTGTTTTTCTTTCATATCATGCCCTTTTTCTGGACCACATTAGGTACTAAACTAATAGACGGTTAGCTATTTTTTACTAGTAACATAAGGGTCCAAAACGTCTCAAATCTTGTCGATTTTTAGGGATCCATTAAACATTTCTATAAATATCTCGAAAAAATGTACAAAAAAAATTCTTATGTAATGTAAATTGTGTATATCATTCGGATCTAACAACGACACCTTTGCAAGTTTTGAAGATATGATGTCACTTTAAACTTAACGCAAGAACCCATACTACGGTTGCTAGAAACAAATTATGATTTCTTTTCGTACGTGGTCGCCCACCATGTCAAAGCGTCTACGATAAAAATCACCTCTAAAAATGTACTGCGAGACGTGAGGTTTCTTGACACGCTGTATAATGGTACGAATCGAAATAATATTAAACGTCAATCAAGGAAATACAGTCCAAAAGCATTTTTAGCAGAGAAATCCATTAAGATATACATTGTCGATTAATCATCAATTCCACACTCATACGCCGCATTATTAGCTTTTTTGCGCAATAATTAATGGTCACTGAAATAGGAGTGGAATGGCATGACAACTCCATTAAACTCTGATTAATTTTTAATTAATTCAGTCATGTTCAGACCGCGTCCAGACTCTTGACGAAAGGCAAAACAACGAAAAAAAATATAAATCAAAAGCTGAGGAATTGACAAAATGGCAAGTGTGCGTTGCGCAGATGTGTTTTATGGCTTTATACCCATATGTGGAAATGTGAGAAAAAGGTTCGGCTTGAAATCATTTCTACGAAGAAATAAGCAAAGAATAAATTTGTATATAATTTTTTAAAATAACTCGGCTTCTTGTTCGTATTGGCATCTTCATAAATTTTGTCGAGCTTCGGAGGAATTCGAAGCTTGTCAATGTGATATCTTCATTGGAAATACATATACGCTGTTTATGAAATGTTCACACGGTTATGTGCATTAAGAAACTTGAACTTAAAACAATATTGCAGTTGATTTATTAACATGTGATCTAAATAGCGAATGTTAATATTGCGTAATAGAACCTTTTGGACGTCAAATTTAAATATCGTATTCATATCAAATTTTGTCCGTTTTAGTATCTTTCTATCCATTAGCAGATTCGAAAACGGCCAGTATCGATAATATACCCAATATGAGACTCGGTATCTAATACGCTTGTTCAGTTTGTAGAATGAATAGCATTGGTTAAAATCACTTTTATCCCATACACACTGTAAGTTAGCGATATTTTTAAGGCCGTGTAATTACTAAAAAGTGCACAGACTCTAATTGCATTTTTTAATAAATGGATTACTTAGGTTGTCTTGGGGGACACAAAAATAAAATATATATTTTTCAATTGGCCAATGTTTAATTTTATTGATCAATTTAATATTTTTGTGCCAGAACTAGATAATTTTAGCACAAAGTAACTTTTAATACCGAATGAGCAAACGTTGTCAGCCAGAATATTGGGGAAGTTTCCCAAAATGTTCAGTTATTTTGTCCTAAACGTTCTTGTTGTAGAAAACTGTTTCTGGCGAAAAGTTGGAACGAAATTATGAAAAACTCTTGTTCTAATTCTAATTTTCTTATTTTACTTGACGTAATTTACAGTGTGTCCCGTTATGGAAAGATGGTACGAACAGAAATGTCACAGCCAGCTTGGATTATTAAATTTTGAAATTGTTACCTCGAATATTTTGTAGTTCGGTTTTGCATTAACTTATCGAAAAGGTGAAAACCAGTCTGGATAGGATTTTTTACATAGGATCCAGTCCGTCTTCAATTTTCTTCTGCAACTTCCTAATTTCGATATACGATGTGTTTTTTTAATGGAACACCTCGCATGTACTTTAAAAATTTTATTAAGCTGTATATGAGCTTTCGAAAAAATATATAACTCATAAGGAAATAGAAAAAATTTTTTCGTTTTAATAGGTTTTAGTTGTCAAATGGTAATGTTATTTTGTAAATATTATTTTAATTTCTGCCGCCTCTTCTTTCTGCTATGGCTCACGTCTACTCATAATATGAAAATTATGAGTAATTGGATATAATAGGGTGTATTATCAATGCGCATTTAATATTACACACAAGTTTATTTTCACAGTTAATTAACTTTTTGAACTAAATAATGTAATTTATGTGACAAAGTCTGTATTTTCTATGGCTTACTCAAAAAAAATAAAATGATTTAATGATATATGCTTTATATTTGAAATACTGCTCAGGTGCTATATATTTTTGGAAAGCTAATAACAAGACTAATGAAATTATTGAAAGACACGCAGGGTCAGTTAAGGGTTCCCTTAAAAAACAAATGTTTCGTTGATAAATCAAAATTTGTGACGCGACTAGCTCATACGTAAAAAATCCTCTCCAAATTAATTTTCACCTTTTCATTAAGTTAACGCATAACCGAACCACAAACGGTGTCTAAGAATGCAACATCTTTAAAATTACCCTGTACTTAAAAATCAGCTATGAGAGATCTGTGGTGTGCCATCTTTCATTTCATGGAGTAGCCCTGTGTTACGAAAGCCACAATAAGGGAGATAAGCTGTAGAACAATCAAAAATGAGACACATTTTACATCACAATACGCATACTTATAATTTACTGAAACTTACTATCTCAGTGACGATAATTGAAATAAAAGTTTTTTCTGAGATCTGAAAGATGGAACACATTTACACTCACCTAGCATTTTACTTAGATCGGCGTTATGCAGATCAGGATTTTCGTCAGCCAGTTTCTTTCTCTCGACTTTGGCCCATACCATGAACGCGTTCATTGGTCGTCGTATACGAGCTTCTTTGTTCGCCTTTTGGGCTTGATTTGCACCCAATTTCGGACCGAACCCACCAGTACGGGCAGCGTACACTGGCATAGCGTCGGCATACGACTGACGCGCGTAATCGAATCTGTAAAAAAATGTCACGTACTTCTAACGGGATAAATATTACAATGTTCGAAAAATGTATAAAAAACTGTTTTTATAGTTTGGGCTTAACTTTCGAAATCAACAAGGAACTTCTGCGGCAGATACTATCGTCAAGGTGTTATCTCATGACGTATATAACATAGGGAGATATAAACAACCCTTTTATAAATATGAGGCTTTTCAGCAAGTTAATCTTGAACCTTTTTTCGTATATCTATTATTCCAAATTATACAAACTGACGTAGGCGGAAGTGCTCTCTCGTTCTTCAACAACGTGGCAGCTTCTCGCCGTTCGGTGTTTCTATATCGCTATTTCGTACTGCTTTTGAAATAACATTCGTTGTAGAAATCTTAATAGTTCCGTTTTGAATTTAACGGACATGGTTTAAATTTTCGAAACGGAATTAAATGCAAAGTTTCCAAATAATCCTGTATATTTTTTATTTTCGAATTTGAACTGGCAAATTAACTCAAGTTTATTCCAGTTTTCCTACGTTTAATTGTATTTGTTAAATAAAAAACAGTTTTCATAATCTCGAAAAATTTGTAAACTTTAAAAAGATTACTAATATTATTAAATAAAAATAAATCTTTGGAAAACACTGTAAGGTCTATCAAACTGCAATTCAAAAACAAAGTTCAATTGATACACATGTAAAAGCGATAACACTGCATGCTTCAAAATATTTGAGAGCGCATGGTTTAAAACAAATCTGTACATTTTCCTGATATTTGTAATAATGAATCTAGTTGCTTCGTATTACTCATAAGATAAGAAAATTTGTTCAAGAAAGAAAAGGAAGGTTGAGCGTTTCATCTAGGCTGACAACCCACCTTCCTTCATTTATAGATGCCGAAGTACTTATATTGATATAATAATGGTATCTGTATTAAATAAATAGTTGATATGTTTTAACTGATAAACCTGATACATATATATTTTCAAACGCATAAAGTCTAAATTAAAGTTAACGACCTTCACGGTATTTCCATAGTGTTATCCAAAGAAAACATTCACTTCAAAAAATCTCAGCGTTCTACAATTTTTTTCTTTAATAATGCGCGTTACAAATCACAGACGGTACTGGTAGAAATAATAAATTGTGTACCCATTTGAAAATACTTCTTGATGCACACAATTGCAATGCACTAGAATCGTTCCTTAGATAATAAATAGAAAAAAATTTCTTGAAAACTCAACCTCCCTGTATCTCAAATGAATCATCCCCTTCATTATTGATACACTATTAAGGAACACCCTGTATATCTGCACCGAGCTCACAAGGTATGTGCAGGCAGCAGACTAATTAATGCCCATTAGATAACATACCTCCCTGCGGGGTCACTAAAACTATTAAAGATAATTTTAACTTTGCTTCAATTTGTTAAGTTAAGTATCGGTTCAGTATAGAATATTTTGTATTATACCTATTCGCCTCGTAGGCTCTGTAATCCGAATAAGCCTCCATTCCCCATAAGTCTTGTCCTCCCTTGGGTAATGCTTGAGGTAAAACTTGAGAAGCGGGTATCATCTCCTGAGGATCTCCTCCGCCATATTCCTGCGAATACCTGCCGAGTTGGTACTGCGAAGCAAGAAGTGGTGATGGAGAGTTAGATGGTGAGAGGCAACTCCTGTAGGGGTTTGACTGACCGGGCGAAGGTGTACATGCATGTTCATCAATTAATCTGTAAGAAAAAAATCAAACTCACTGAGCGTCGTTTGGGCCACTTAACGTAAGCGGCTACTTTAGATTGTTGAAAACAATGGACTCTAACAATAGGCGTTATCGCCAACGCGTGCTTAATCTGAAACCAATAATTTCCAAGTAAAAATTTCAATAGCGCAGTAATGCGTCTGCATTTTTTGGCTTTGCATCACTTTATCGGGATCGCCGTATCTTTAATTCCCCAAGTAAGTCGCTATTGATAAAACAAGTTAAAATAACTCGCTATCTGCAAGTTTTCCGAAATATCGATCTACAAAAAAAATGCGCTGAATGATTACGTTGTTTATCCAAAATAAACTGATTATTAGTTGGCATAGATTTGTATAAGGCTCCAATAACCTTACCTATGCAATAAAAACACGGATTCTATAATTTGTTACTGTATACTGTTATGCTTATCAGAACTTAAAAATTAGTGTTGACTGTAACCTGACAAGCAGATCTACTACTGGTTGCGGAATATGGAAGCGCCGTCGCGAAATCTCACGCGCGAGACTAAAAAAAAAACATCTTTCACTAGTCATTTTCTTGAAACAAGTTCTTGTAAAACAGCTGTAGTCTATTTCAAAAAGGTGTCGAGAAATATACCTTCATAAGGTATACAAAGGGTCTACAGAGTTACCCAGCCAATACCTATAAACTTTCATTTTTTTCGATCGAGGGTTACCTGTTGAATATTCGAAACACTATACGTAATAACAAAAATATATTATATAGAAAATTAATTATAAAAAATTATAATATTCTCTGTTATCTCCACAATTTTATCATTGACGGTTCGACATTCCGGTCGATCAAGTAGTCAAGATACAACTTTTTCTCATCTTCTTAAATGACATACTGCACTGCTTTTCGCCAGCTCTCTGGTGTCACTTCCTCAATGACTGGATAAAACACGCACAGCTTGAATTTCGTGTTGTGCCTTACAAATCCTTTCACTTGCGCCTATTTATGTTTTGGTATATTTTCCACGCCGTATTTCATAGAATGATGGTTGTGTAAATTTGCGATATGTAATATTTCTTTATCAAATTATTTTCAAATTCAATATTTTTGCTGTTTAACTAGTATATAGTTTCTTGTCTTCTCTAAGATGGAGTTGGAGTATGCTCTACATGTTGTGCTTGCGTTATCCATAATTATTATACTGAATTAGCCGGAAGATATTTTACCATTTCTCCAGAATAGCTAATATTTATTCTTAAAATCCCCCTTCGCTTCTAATGTTGGTATTATCCCTTTTCTTAAAGGCGCCTTAATACCCGCTGAAAGCTTGTTATGAAAACTGGTTATATTGTTGTCTTGCAGCATTTTTTTACTACATAAAGTATTTCTTTCTACTCCCTTCTGTAAAACACCTAATTATACACGTATCCGTCGTGCGGAAACTGTCATTTTACCACGGCAGTTTCGAGCCACTTCGGACATTTCCGGGATATTACCGCACGGGTTTTTGAGCGATCGGATGTTTTCGGAGATATTACCGCACGGCTTGAATTTTGACGTCAATTCTGACGGTCATGTCAGTGAATGTATTTGTGTTGTTTTGCGAAAATGTACTCAAAAACTAAAGGTCGCAGAAAAAGTATAGTACTTTGATAAACTTTTTATGTCACTCGTTTATTAAGCACTACCGCTCAAATACAGTTTTCCACACTTCTTGCATAATATACTATTATAATGTGGTTTTTAACTATAGGGTTGTAATCCGTGTATATATCTTTAGATACCTTTTGTCATCCATTGAAAGAATATCTTTGATGTCAACAGCCTAAAAAAAAATTACAATGATTCCAAACGATTTCTGCCGATATACAGTAAGTTAAAGTAGCTTATGAATATTTCAAGCCCTAACCGCAAAGCCACTAGTTTTGTATCGTAAACGTCGCTAACTGAATTTGCACAACTATTAACATGTGTGAACCACTATAGTTATATCGAATATTCATTCACTTCTTGGTGGTATGTTTTTGCAATGTATACCAGGATTATAGCAGGGGCGTTTTTTCCTTTGCTTGAATTCACTGTAGTAAATTCATGTATTTTCTTTAGCCATATATCAAAGCCGCTATATTACATGTATAAATGCACACTCACGCGTGTATCGATGTAAATAAATACAACCAGGATGCTTTCAATGCCACCCAACCGCACTCGCGGTGTCTGTAACCGACCTAAAGCATCCATTAATAATTTAATAATATCTAATTAGCTTACCTAATGCTGAGATTACACCTTTTTTTTAATTACGTACGATATTTCCAGACGCGTTAATAATAATTAATACCTCATATATTAAAATGACTTAATTGTTATTGGCAATATTTGGAGTACCTATATTTATCCCGGTAAAGAATTTAAAAACTCTAAAAGGGTTGGAAATAAATTTCTTATTTAAAAATTTACATATTACCAGTTTATGATACTATTAATTGAATTTATGCTCCACTTTCAATTAATATATATTACTTTGTGTAAGAAGCAGTTAGAAACAGAAAGTCTTACAAAAATTTCTTTTGAAGGGCAATCAAAAGTCTCTTTCGCTATAACCGTTTTGGTGAATTTTAAAATTCAAAGAAAATTAAAATTTTTCATTTGGCTAACTAATTCTCAGTAAGGAAGTTGGGAAATTAAAAATATTTAGTTCGAGAAGCCCTCAATTGTTAAAAAAAGTTTCTGGCCTATATTGGCTATGTTGGTTATCATTAATTTATAATAATAATAATAATTTATTAAATACGTGAAACTTCTTCGTCTCCGCAAAATAGTACCGGTTTATTTATTCTGACTATTGACGACGCACATATTCCTGTCAAGCTCTTTTCTAAATTCGCCTCTTTTTGGAAGTTTTAAGTTTCTTACTTTTATTTAAATACACAATGAAATTGGTATAGAACTTGAGTACGCCGGATCGTTAATCAAAAGCTATAAATTCAAGATAAGCAAGGTAGGTATGACGTAACGTCAATTTAATAGCAAATATTTTATCAAATCTGGTAAACAAACTAAGTAAAGCCTGGTTTAATGTTTACAATGACTCCGCGGAAATGCGCAGTAACATCTTAAGGGGGCCGTTTCTCTAGCCAATCATAGTAATTAATCCATCAATATATGAGAAAATGTTTCGATATATTAACCATTCTAATCGCAGACAAATTTTATAACGACCATTTAATTTAGTACAAGGCATCGAAAAAGACCCGGTATAATTTCATTTAGGTAGAATATGACTTGCACTTTTTTAATTTAATCTTAAGAAAGTCATGTGGCGAACATGGGCGTAGCACCACCTGGCCTATTGACAAATTTCAGGAACGAACAATAACTGAGCCTTTGGTGATCATTTCAGAACAATACAAATAAAAAAAAGAAAAAATATACTCAAAAGTAGCGAAATTAGTCAAACCGGAAAATTGTAGGTATGCTAAATATAAACTTGCTAAATTTACTAAAATTAAACTTACGTCAAAAGCCAACGTTGCGAAGGTTCACTCTATGGTGTACCGCACTTTACAGAGATTTCTCCTTACTTATTTACTATTTCGCTAATATAAAATAAAACCGATTATAAATATGCAGGATATGTTGAATTTTAATCATTCAAGTTTTAATCATTCAAGTTTTAATCATTCAAGTTAATCCATTATTGTTTTGGTTTAAAGGCATGATAAATAAAGCGCTTCTAAATTGCACATTCCGAGCCTACTGCGATTTTTTATACCCTTGATTTTTAATATAACTCCATTATTTGAGAAATTTTCTACAAAATTTGATAAAAAATGTACTGAGTGGTCAAAATGAGAATTTGAAATTTTGTGCAAATTTAAGGTCGTATAAAGAGGAACAGACTTTTCCATCAAATGTTGCGAATGGATTTTTGAAAGGATTGATTAATGGAAGTTGACGATCTATATATTAGAAGTTTGATTAGGAAACGAGAGAAAACAGGAATGTTTTCCTCGTAGTGATTCTTCAACTATTGATTCTTTAATAATCGACCAATGTCATGCGTTTCTAGTTTGAAAATTAGAAAAAGGAAAACACATTGAAGTGTTAATTTTTCCAACGGACTACGCCCGTGCATGATCTGTTTGCTTTTACTCAAAATTTGTACTTTAGGTATGTCGCAACCGCAAAATAATAATTTGTTAAGTATAGCCTTCTTTATATTGAAGTTGATTAATTGTTTTCCGAGGTTTATTATTGTGTGGTATGACAGCACAGGATTTATGGAAAACAATTAATCTCGGTGAACTTTAAAAACGCTTTTAAAATGTGTCTCAGAGATATGCGCACAGGTTTGAACATTATTAACCAAACTTGACGCAAAATTTCGTAATGAGGTAGTTTGATTGACATGCATTTCTAATATAACGGTCTGTTTAACATTTTATTTAAAACTTAGAGGAAAGGTATTAAGCGAACGCTGAATAGAGTTTAATTCTTATAAAATACGTTACTCTTTTAAATTCAGTTGGAATTTTGCCAATAACCAACAGGCAATGCTTATTGACCTTCTAAGTTGAGTAAGATTTAATAATTTAATATTTTGACTGACTAGGTCGAGGTTTTTAATTAAAATTCTTATAGGCTGGCTATAAAGGCTATAAAACGATCCCATCGAAAATGCGAGAAAAAATTTATTGAAAAATGAAAGCTAATTAAATTGCTGTGCAACGCTGATACACAAGAAAATCTTAATTGCATCAAATAAATAGTGAGGACACTTATTTTATATGTATCACTTTATTCTACACAAGCGATTCACGATTGAATACGGCCTAAAAGACAATTATGTTTCTTTATGTTATTATATGAGAGATCATAAAGCATGTACAAATGTTCGCTAACATAGGAAAATATATAGATTATTTTCGAGGTCACGTTTTTGTGGCGTAGAATCCGAATTTGTAATATAAAACGGGAGTTTCCAATATTTCAAAGACATCCTCCCCACCA